GGGGGGGTGGTGGTGGAAGAAAACCACCCGAAACCAAAACCAAAATTACCAGCCCTAAAGTACTCAGCACAACCTTGTTGATTTGCTTGGCCATTTAAATAAACAAATATGCTCCTTGTAGAGGATCACAGCTCCATTGTAACAGACAACAAGGAGAAGAAAAGTACAGAATATTATCTGCCCTTCTCCCTATAGGATTCTCATGTTGTTCAAGCTATCATTACCACATCTAGTTTATCATACAATTACGACTAATCCTTAACTACTAAATAAGCAGGAACAGGAGTAAAGATTGCAATTCTGAAAGTCTACGAGATAAACTTTAGTCTACAGTTGACTGAATGGTTCTGTGATTAATTTTAAATCCTACTTAATAGGTTAAAGATGTTTATAAAGATGAAATAATTTTATCACTGTTGATCTTAATAATCTTATATTCACTTACTCGCTAAGGCTTCCATAGTCCAGCCACTTGTTGCTAGTCAGGCACTGCAAGTAAAGCATAGATTTGCACATAAATTAATATAGCTGGATTCTGGTCAGAATATAACTCACCAGGTAAGAGTAACTCTAGTGTTGTCAAGGAATGGAACAACGCAGCATCCAACAAACTCTGAAGATGCCTATTGTAATCACCAAACAATGAAACAATTTAAAAAGGTAATTAATGTCTCAGATACATTGTTTCGACAAAAATACACAAACATAAAATAAATCGACTTTTAATTGAGTGATACAATTTCAGATGGCAATATTATAGGATCTCAGTTGTTTTCTTTTTCTATTACATGTATCTATCTGACTACTTAGCTAGCTATAGACCTCAGGCAGCAGTCTTTTTTTTTTTTTTTTTTTTTTTAGGCTACAGCCGGTTCCTAAGCAGAGATGACTGCTTTTCCGTGTGAAATTAAGTATCTAGTCAGGAATTGAGCATAATCATCATATGGGCAAATCAAAATGATGGCTACATTTACTGCCTACAGAAATTTTTGCTGCTCTGCATATTAACTCACTGAAAATGTTGTGTTAGCTAATCGTGAATGTGACGATTTTCATTACTCATGGAAATGCGTAACATCTTCTGTTAAACTTATTGGCATTTTTCATCAAATGAATAGAGCAATGCCCTGAAATGTGATAGTTGTAGATTCTTGTTATACAACTTTGAGTAAAATATTCTTTCCTCTAATTCCAACAGTAATTAACTTGGATTGGAATTCCCCTGACTCATGTAACAGTCTTCAGCACTGTATTAATGGATCCTAGTATTTGTATAGTTTGAAAAGAAATCCTGTCCCATATATGTAATATTATATTAACGTGCTAAAGACTTTCAGGTTAATGAAAAGAATTGGTCAAATCACCCCAGCTTGAGCTATAAGTAATTTGGGGGGGGGTTAATTCTAAAATAAAATGGTATCTTGTTAAAACTTAAAATGCTTCAAAAATGAAGCTCTGGAAAATTGTTGCATCTCCCATGAAGTCTAAAAATTAAAGTAGACGATTATCATAATAATAACCCAATTGTACATGGCAGACAAAAGAGAAGCTAATACTTCCCTCTGCTTTTTGACTGATGTTTTGTTGGGCTGTAGCTAAACAGCACTTTAAGTTGACAGTAAATTAGCAAACAATATGAGGGAGGAAAAAAGAAAGAAAATCATGCAGGGGTTAAGATGTTTATGTAAAACAGTGATTTTCCTTTTTAAAATTAAAATGTACAAATAAGCTGGTGTCAGAGACTAGGTGATCCTTCATTTCCACCGCATTGAGCAGGCTCACATCAGCAGCAGACAGCCGTTAATATATGCGTCTGGCTCAGTCTGGTCTACCAACTAGGAATTCATCGAATTGTTAATATCATTCCTTTTTTGTATGCACCACACATCATTTTCACTCTCTCTCTCCCTCTCTCTCTCTTCCTCCCCCTTTGCAAGAGCTTGTGTTTTGGTTTTTTTGTTTTTGTTGTAGCACAAGCTGATTACTCTGAAATCACATATTAAATAGCATTTAAAAGCATTTTGGACTGAAATAGCATAAAGTCATATAGAAATGAGAATATATTGAAATTCTGTACATATATCTAAATCTAAGCATAGCATACTGAAGATGATGCTTTCTGTTTATTTGTGCTAATACAGGCAGATTTCATATACTGTCAGTGTGTAAATAAGACTGCTTTCTGCATGGAGTCTTGTAGGCATTATCATGTAGTCCCAGGACACGGAAACATCTTGTTGATCTTGGTGGGAATTCTGCCCGAGTGAAGACTGGGATTCTCCCTCCCCTCCATTCACCTCTGCCCCACCATGAGGAGTTCAATGTGTATCAGAGGCTGGTTTTGCTGTGTTGAAACTGGGGAAGAAGAGGGAGGAAGGAAAAAGGAAGGCAGTGTACCAACTTTTTCATCTCTATGGCAAGGGGCAGCAGTGAGTACAATGGGCAGAGAAGAGCCACTGGAGTTATCCCAACTCGAGCAGTAATGCAGAGGCAGTACTGCATATTTACGGCTTTTGCTGTAGCACCAAATAAGCCAGGTAGGGTTTTCTAACGATTCGTTTTCTTCTCACTCTCACTGCGGAGCAGAGCATATTTGAAATCTTCAGACTGACAGAGACAGACATTTCACACTACAGTTTCACCTTCATCGTATGTACAGTATTAAATACAAAATGAATTCAGAGTGCTGAATGTGAACCATCCACATTCAAGTAAATTTTGAGATTCAAAACTATATGCAATCGAAATCTTTAATATATACAGATGTGTGCATCATATATATATATATGTTTATAAGGATTTTTATTTTGATAAATACTATGCATAATTTAAATTGTATATTGACATGTATATACCTACACACAATATAGTTTTATCTCATTATATAGCTTGGATGAACAGAATACCTGTTCGCTTGATCAGTATCTTAAATAGACAATTTTCAGTACTGAAAACCATTGTACATAATACATGTCAGTTGATACCGAAGTGCTTCATGAGTGTAGCACCTAGCTAGGTACATTCTTCTTTTCTATACAGACTCAGATCTACTTTTCTAATATTGCCAAAATGGAAGTCAAAGATATTGAATAACACATCTGTGCTAAAAAATTACCTCTGTGTCTGAATGTTTGCAAGTAGCTCTTTTGAATGTTCTTAGCATGTGGGATTGACAGTCTACGAAGAAAATAACTGAATATTTACAGGAACTGTATCATCATTGTAATTGCTAAGGCAATATTTTTATGACTATATAAAGACTAATTATATCTTGAGCAACTTGAAAACTATGTACAGCGCATAGTTTCTGTCTCTTAACAAAACAAGACAACAAGAAAAAGTATTATACTAACAGATAAGAACAATTTATTTTAACAATAGTGTTGATGCTTACAATAAAACACAATTCCTCCCACACAAGTGGAAAAAATATACTGCAGCCAAAATACCACTTCTGAAATGAACAAATATTTTAGATGCCTGATCTGTGTGAAGCCTTTGTCTCAGTGAAGTCTGATGTATCAACAAGGTCCTGCAGCATCTTGGGTTAGACACAAGAAACAGAAAAATGACTCAGAACTAACCCACCTGTAAAATATTAAGAAATACAAATAAAAGTGTATGTTGTAGATCAGAAGTTGAAGACTAATGAACAGTGGAGAATAACTTGTGTGCTTGTGAATCTTCTTATACAAAGTCAGTGAAGTACTTATTTTTTTTTTTTTTTTTTTTTTTTTTTTTTTTTTTTTTTTTGTTAGAGGGGGAAAAAAATGCAAAAAGTGATGGAGAAGCTAGAAGTCCGGTACTTAGAGTATTGCCGGCTCAGTTTAAATTGAACAGGTACAAGAAATTTGATTCTGTGTGCAAAGTGATTTTAATGTTGTAGTATGATTTTTACACCAATATTCTCTATCAGATTAAAATGTAAGTTAAATGAGAGAATATTTTAAATGCCATATTGTGTTCTCACTTAGACAAAGAAAAATGATGGCAACTAACTACAAAATAATCTTTGTCCCATTTTACAGGAAAAGGTAGCAACAGTTTTCCTGTAGACTGAAATCATTATTCAAACAATAGAATGAATGTTTTCTAGGCCTCAACATCAGTGTTTTTGCTTTAAATTTTAAAAGTTAATCAGTGATGTGACAATACAGCTGAAAATATACTTTGTGGTAATTACCTATCAGAATTGTCTACAATAATAATAATATTATGGTTGAAAGCCTTTTGTATATTTTAGTATCTGTTTTGAGTTGGGGTGGGGGGTTTTTTTTGAGGTGCAAACTGGTATTCAGGTTAAATTTTAATTCTAAATGTTACATGGCATCTAGTCTAGCTTTCTAAACACACAAATATGTAAAAGCCTAATGTTGCACAATGGATAACAGTTCTTTCAGGAACAGTTCTGCTACTTAACATTTGTAATAGGTATATTTTCTTTTTTTCCCTTCCAGACAAGGAAAGCTCCTTTGGTTCTCTAAATTCTGCAGAGACACAATCACAGTCCAAAGCTGCTGGTTCCCCTCCGCCTAGGTCCCAAGAGCCTGACTTGTGATTGTTGCTAAAAAACCTCACAAGTTAGGGTCTCAGGGACTAGGAAAAGTCCGATATGATCCAGTAGAATTCGTCTTCAAATAAACTGAATTGCTTAGGAGTCATAATCACTGCCAGTAAAACTTTCACTGCTATTGTTAAAAAAACCCAAACCCAAACCAAAACCAACCCAAAAACCAACATCCCCCTCAAATTAACAACCCCTCCTTCCCCCCAGATAAACAAACCACAGTTTCAAGTAGGGGGCAGAAAAGATCAAATAAGCAGGCAAGACGCATACATACATTCAAACAATGTATCAGCTGACTGAACAGACTTTTCTTAAGAGTATAGTCCTTAACTTTTGAAAAGAAAAAACAGAATACAGGAAAAAAATTTTCACTTCCTCGTCCTGCAAGTAGCCATATTATAATGCATCAGAGGGAAGCATCTAAAAATGGGTTAAAATCTGCTTCCAGCAGATTGGTACAATAACAATTTTATGCTATTTCCCTTAATGCCTGAAAGAAGGATTAAATGCTTGTTAAGGGGCTTCTAATTGAAATATTTCCCCATTATACTTTTAGTCCTACTGTTCAGGTGGGCCCTGGGTTAGAGTACTTTAAACCCATCACGATGCAAGGATAACCTTTGGGCGTGTATTCACTTTTTGCCTCTTCCCCACGTTCAACATTTAATCCTTCTACAGGCTGCTAGCAAAAGCTTCTTCCTTTCCAATGGCAAAATTAGCTTTTGCTCCATAAGCTGTAGAAAACATTGACATGCAAAGATTGTTGTCACTTGAACCAGATTACTCAAAGCACACATAACTTTCAAATACTGTTGATACAGTAAGAAGAAATGCTCAGATTTCCCAAATAATTTCATTCTGAAGCCGAACACTTTTAATGGCACGACCACAATCCCAAATTACTTTCGCATTCATTCTCCTCCGATCTTTAGCCTTGTTTGCAGAATGAAAAAGAAAATTTCTACTTTAGGGACGGGATCTTTTTTTTTTTTTTTTTTCCTCCATCAGAGCCCAGAGCAAAAGAAACAGCAGCCATAAAGGTCCTAGCCACTGGAGCAGAATCTGGCATAGAAAACTCAGTGCTCTTCGGGAAGCCGTTCAGCTTTAAAAAGGGAAAAAAAAAGAGAAGAGGGGGGGAAGAATTAGAATCTCTGCTGGTCGAACAGGTGAATCATCCATTTACAAGAAAGCTGTACAGAGCGCTCTGCTGAAGAAAAGATTTGCCAGCGCCCCCCACCCCCATCCCTGCCCTTCACCCTCCCCTCCAGAATGATACTTTAGATTTCAGAACATTTTGGATTATTTAAAATATTATTTCAGCTGATGATATAATGCAACATTATATAAGAGCCGTTTCTTTGTCACTGTGCACCATTCAATCAGTTATGCCTCAGACACAAAATAGTTAAACGAAACAAAATATATGAGATATATATATATATGTATAGCAGTCCCTAGATTTCATTCAATTTCTTTTTTTAAAGCTGATCATGAGTTAACAAACAATTTTGACCACAGCTTTCAAATCAATAATTAGAATGAAAAATCTCTCCCCTCTATAAATATGACATTAACATAATTATACCACCCCCATCGCATAGACCCATCCTCTTTAGGGAATACATCTGATGCTCTGAAGATGGAAATCAGTCAGATTTTAGTTGCTCTCAAACGTACCTTTGCTTCTCACTGACTGACTGGCTTTACCTTCCATGCACACACACAGTCACTAGCACACACACGCACACACACACACACATACACATGCGCGCGCACATACACACACACACACGCACAAAAAGGCAAGGCAAAGCAGCGGATGCTGACTCAGAGCAGTTTTGTGTGGAGGGGGTGGTATCGGCTGGTATTTTCACTGCACTCATCATTAACATTAACTCACTCTCTAGCATCCACCCTCTCTCAGACCTGCTGGACTGCAGCATTTGCATGACGCTGTCACTCTAGCCCTTGTGGGTCAGATGTTAGAAGAAAAAAAAGCCTCAAGGCTCTCATAAGGAATGCCTTCATTTCTTCCAAAGGGTCCCTCTTCTTATTTTTCCACCTTTCTACTTCCTCTGTTGCTGTGTCTCAGTTGTTTGACATCTTTCCGGAAGAAAATGTCTTGAGCTGCAATAAGCCAGTAGTCAGTCGGTCCTCCCCTCACCTCACACTCCTATTCCCACCCCCTTTTTTCCTAATCAATAAGACAGATCTCCAAATGCAGTTGTGAAAACAGGCTCTGACACACAGACTTTCATCCTCGATCCTCTGCCTCAGGAATAGCAGGCAACCCAGGCTCACACGTGATGTAGAGAGAAATAATGCCAGTAATTCTTGAACAGTCTTAGGAGTTTATTCTACGCCTTCTTCATTTTTTCCTTTGCTCGAATAAATACCAGTGGGAAGGACACACTAGCTCTCAAAAGCTACAAGGATTCATTTATTCAGAAAATTATGAACATTAAAAAGACTAATATTAATCTTCCTCAAAATTAATGCTATCTTTCTTTTTCCCCCCATTCATTGTGCTCTTTATAAGTAGGAATTGTCTCATAGCCAAAACACTGCCAGAGTCTGAGTCACCATTCACTGTGCTGAAATCGTGAGTTTCTGGATTTCAATCAGTATTTAACTGGACCAAGTAATTTCTTTTCTCTCTCTTTTTTTTTTTTTTTTTTTTTTTAGATTTCTTAATTAAAACAAAATAAAAAGTAGAAGCTGATTGCGTCAGAGGGAGCACTGTGAGAGAACAATGGCAATACATCCGCACCACCACACCGAGTACTGAAAATGCATGTTTGAGCTACACTTGTGTATTTATCTGTATGGTATTTGCTCCGTGTTGGAAGAGCAGTCTGCGCACATACACGTACATCAAATACACACACACATACACAGAGAAACTCAAGACGCGTATATAAAATACACAACACTAAACAAAGCACAAAGGCTGTTAACTGAAACACAGGCACAAGTTGTCTGACAGGCTATGAAAATCCACAGAGCATAATTATTGTGTGCATTTTTACCTTGTTCCTTTGTTCTTAAGGCAAGGGAATTTAATGACTTACGGTGTTGACAATCTTTCGGCTTTTCCCTTTTTACGCCAAGAGTATTTGGGAATTATTTTTCCAGACAATACCACACCACTGTGACTCGCGGTATAAAAATTATTTACCAGAGGGGGGGGACAGGTGATACGCAATTCGCCAGCCAATTCTCAAAGCTGCCTGGTGCCTCTCGGCGTAACCGGGCAGGGAGGTCCCAGGATGCAGTGCTACACCACAGTCCCAGCTCAGGTAGCCGCTTGGCAACCTTATGGTGGCAGCAAACGTGAAGGGCATCCACTCACAGGAAAGGTCCAAAAGAAAACACTGTGCAGCCCTGAAGTAAAGAAAGGAAGCCAGAATGCTGGGGTACACGCCCTAAGCCCAGTCAGTACAGTCAGCTCATGACCGGTTGTCGTGATGGTAATTAATTTGTTAGGAAAAGTAGACAATTAGGAAACAGTTAAGTTTGTAATCTCAGAGAGAGGGAGAGATGGAGACAGACACACACCCACAGACAGAGACAGAGAGCGAGCAGTGAATGCCAAGCATGAGACAACAAAAACAAGACCGAAATCAGATTTGGGAAACTGAGAAAATACAGGAATACAGCATTCAGCTTAGCATTTACTGAGGTAGGAGAAAAAAAATTAACACATGCACAGCATGGCTTAAAATACTTATTGCCATCAATAGCCTGTGACGGATGCCGGCTTCTTACTGCTATACGTACATTAGATTGGTCATCGCCTCTTAATCTCCTTTTGCTCAGACCCATCCATTTTTTGCTGCTCCAGCATCTGTGCCCTTTATGCTTTTTTTCTGTATAGTTACCCACAATACCCTGGATAAATTAATGTCATGACCTCGCTATGGCTATCAGACAGAAAAAAAAAGTCTACTATTTTAATAATTGAACGTGCGCGTACAGCAAACTGCCTACTGATAGCCCAGCTTTGTGGACTGCCTCCAAAAGCAGCCTTTGCTAGCTCTGCGAATCAGAAACAACAGATGCAAATACTAGCCACATAGCCCCAGCTCTCTGTCTTGCTTTTTTTTTTAAAAAAAAAACCCCACCCTTTTCAGTCTGTGCCATTTCATTTTCCCTACGTCTGCTCACTCAATGGTTAAAAACATTAGCCTGACAAAATTAGAAGCTTTTGAATAAAAGCATGAAGATGAGTGAAAATTATAAATGGCTGCAGATCCTGGAAATTTATATCCAGACTGTGAGTAGGGAAGAGTACCCAGGTTCAAGTGCTGAGCCTCACTCGGGAGCACCTCTGGGGCCAATGGGACTGCAGACTAGATTAAATCAATAGTCGTCTGAAACGAGATGTCGTAATCAATCAGCTCAATTACCACTGTCATAGATCTGGGCTTAAGGTCTTTCCTGATTCCACTCTTCTAATCATTAACCCTTATACATCCTCGAAATAGGAACTCATGCTTACTCTGCTGCCCTACCTTTCAGATCATCAAAGTTTAACTTAGCATTTTCCCCTTTTTCCCTTTCCCTTTCCCTATTTAAATAATATAAGAATGGGTCAGCAAGAAACATTTTAAATGTGAATATGGCAAGGTTAGATGCACTCCTTTAAATATACCTATTATATATTTGCTGTGTGTGCGCTTATATATTATTATTATGCCTCTGGGAGTGGCTGGGTGGATCAAAGACTGCTGTTTAATTAACATTCAACTCAGCTGTTTCCTTGGAGATTAAAAATAGAAGACTAGTTGAATTAAACCGAAGCTCTTCACTCCTTTCACTAATCCAATATTACAGAACACTTCTCCCCTCAACCTAGTTAGGAACAACTAATTTCTGGTTAATCAACCAGTAGGAAAATCCATTTTCAGTTTGAGGGTGTGAAAAAGTTGGAAAGACATTTTTGTATATATGTCTGAATTTCAGAGAATTGCCCAATCATTTATGTTTTGCATCCACAGTACAGTAAATCCTCATGCAATGGAAGGAGAAAAGAAGCATCGGATTTGAATACGAGCAGAACCACTTTAAAAACTTGCTTGTAATTATTATTCACTGTATGAAGATTAAATGTCATCTATTTAACTTTTTTTTTATTCCTGTACGGGTCCTGAAAAGATCAGAAAGCTTTTCATAAAAATGCTCCAGCAAGTGTCACATATCCTTTTCTCAGTTTCTCAGGAGGAAAGAAAGAATCTGGGTAGCAGGTATGCAGAATTTTGATCTCTTAAATTTAATCTATTCTGCTGATAGACTCAAATAATAATAGTGAAAGAAAAACCCATTATATTTACAGTTACATCACTGTCTGTACACACTGCCTCTGTTTCCAAGCAGAACCACACCTTTTTTTAACCATAGATCTGCTTTTCAGCTGAAGAGACCGTACGCACAGCCTTAGTCCATGCAACGCTGTGAATGGCAAATTGCAGAACTATCCCCTGTGCCATGTCAATGATATTTTGGGGAGGAATTTGTGCTCCTAGAGGTTCTAGGAGTGGGTATAGGACAAGGGCAGCAAATGGTGTTTCACAGCAGAGGCAGAGGCTGGGGATCTCTCTGTGGGGAAGGTACCTGCCGGGGCAGAGCGCTGTACTATCCAAGAGAGGTTATAATTGGAGATCGATTGCTGGATTTAATGACCCAGCTGTTTTCATTAGTACCAATGTAAAAAGTCAGTTACAAAATTATTCAGCTGCTAGCATAGGTGCTTATATTGCAGCCAGGAATTTGTTGCAGTAACTGGCCCCTCACAGATGGAAAAAAATGACCTCAGCTTTGCATCTTTTCTGGGAAAGATTTAGCTGACAGTGGGATGAGATACAAAAAGAATCTTAATTCTGTCTTTTAGTAAAGCTAAATGAATGCAGTGCACCAGACACTACCTTAAACTGGATGAAGGGTACTGCTCAGTTTTTCAGGTAGCAGTTAAGACTGTGAGCATCATCCACAAGGGGACAGCATTCACATCCACACTGGGAAGATGCAGTTTGTGCACATGAAGAACAGAATGAGAGTAGCAGCCATTGCTGAAACCATCCAAACCCAAAAAATTAAAAAAAA